AATAACCTGCAAAGATCCAGATGCTTTTTACTCAAAGAGGCCTTTTTAGAACAAATAATAATAAACTTTCTTGAAATAATTAATAATACATTATTAAATTTCATGAAGAGTAAGAGATAAAATATTTAACACAATACTTATTCTACCAAGAAACCGAGAAATGCAAGTAGTATAAATCCCTTGAATATGGATTAATAACTAGATGGTTCCTGGCACATGACATTGGCTTGACAACCCTAACATCTTTTTTTGAAATTGTGTTGAAATGCTAGTGTTTTACTATGTTAGTGGTTTTCATTCATGATACATGACTATCTAATTTACTCTCTTTCAATGGTAGTATTCTGGTTATAATCTTAAAAAATAATGACAGTGTTTCTTGTGTACAAATCATCTTTTCTATCCCTGTTTACTTTGCCCATATGGTCACATGTGCAAATACCTATCTGAACCTTGTATGCCCTGTGTTAATCTTAAAATGTACTGAAATCATGAGAGAATAATTAAGGATAAAATAGTTAAGATGACTTAAAGACTAATAACTATATAAAAAATACTGTAATGTTGATTTCTTTAGTATAGTCCTTTAAAGTTATTTAGTAACTGAATATATCTTGAAATGACCGTTTTAATATATTCTTTAAAAAAAAATGTGGGAATTTTTTAAAATGTGACATTGCTAGGCTCTGAAAGCCTTCTTAAACTCACTTGAAATAGTTCAGCTTTTTTTTTTTAAAACAAAATTAAATCAGAAGATGTCTTACCTCCAAGTAAAAGCCTAATCAAAATTTTGTTCAAAGGAAATTTGTATTTTAGCCATGTCTTTTTCAACATTACACTGCCTCTGTCTGTTACAAATATTAGCATTAGCTTAATAACAGTTAGTAAGACAATATGGTCATTTTAAGATAAAAAGGAATTTGAAGTCAAAGAGATCTCAATATAAGCTCTAGATCCATCACTTACTGGCCAAGTGGCTTAGGGAAAGATACCCTTTCTGACCCTAGTTTTCCACACCTATAAATTCAGAATCTCTATTAGATTGTTTTGATAACTGAATGAAATAATGCATGTAAAGCAGTTAGCACAAAACTTAAATATTCAATAAATGATACTCTTTTTCCAAATCAACATAGCTTTATAATTTTCTAGTTATAAAGAAAGCATAACCAGTGATAACAGTTTGGTCAGTATCCTTCTGAGTGTCTCCCTACAGGAACATACTTAAGTACATGTGGATACACAAGTAAATACTTTCTATTAGTAGATTTATAGTACACAGACTTGAATTTAAACGTTTTTTTTCCTCAGTCAACATTATGTCATGTATGTCATGGATATTTAATATTTATAATAGCTATATTCCTTGTCTTAAAAATTTGACATCCTGTACTTCCCATCAAATAGTTTGTTTTTATATTGTTCATCTCCACTACCTCCTAAAATTATACCCTGTCTTGAATTTTAAATTCCAAGTAAAGTAAAATTATGTTCTAAAGATATTTAAAAAAATTTTTACAGAAGCACTTCTGCTTTTTGATTAGGTGAGGCCCTCAGATAATGCTGAAAAGAAATGTGGAGCTCGGAGCAGTAGCAGTATAGTATGGGTATAGCATGGGTCTCTTATCCAGAGGAACACAATATTCCCACTGCTTCAGCCAAAGCATGAGCCTGTTCTCTCAAAATTAATTGCAACACTAGTAAGAATCTGAGATTTCATTTTTTCTTTTCTTTTTTTTTTTTTAAATAGGGAACGCTTCACAAATTTGCGTGTCATCCTTGTGCAGGGGCCATGCTAATCTTCTCTGTATTGTTCCAATTTTAGTATATGTGCTGCCAAAGTGAGCACGATTTCATTTTATCTTCAGGTAAGGAAGTTGAGGCTCAGAGGAGGTTAGTGAGAATAATACAGCTAGGCCTCTTTGGGGGGAGCACATACACTTACACAAGGTAAATGTATTTGAGGAATAAATGTACTTCAAGTGTCAATGGCTATTTTTCAAGGAACAAATACATTTCATAAAATAAAAGTTATAAAAATCCCTTAATTTGGATATTCAAAAAAATTTCCTTCCTGAGTCATCCATTTTGAATGGATTTTGTGGTGGGAATTTAAACATGAAAAGGGAGACCTTTTATTGTACAAGTAGGAGAGGGCTCTTAATCCTAAAGTCAGCTTTGAGATCCTGTATTAAAATGTGTGGCTCTCAGTAAATTAGTTCCCTTTCTCTTCTATTCACTGTTCTTCCCCACATAAAATCATCCTTCCTACATCAGGTAGAAATTGATTATAATGCAGTGTGTGAATTTTCTTGTCACCTCCAAAGGTACCATTCTGATATTCTGGTGCTTGGCATTCACTTGAAAATTAGGACATTAGGTTATATTCTACGTACTATGTACTACATACAGGTCCTTCTGAGTATATTAGGCACAGCACTAGATGCCAGAGATGCTCAGATTAAGATACTGTTCAGATCCTCAGACTGCCTGAAGACAGTTGGGAAAACAAACATGCAGCAATCACAGTGTAATGTGATACTTGTCTGGCAGTAGCCACTCACTTAATTTCTAACAAATGAATAAAATAATAAAATGGAGGTATGTCAAAAGTGAAAGAGCCCCTGAATCTATCTGAAAAAATCGGAGATTTCACAGAGAAGGTAGCACTTTACCTGAGACTTGAAGAATGACTAGGAGTTTGTGGACAAAACAAGATTAAGAAAGTTACTCCACGAGAGGAAACAGTACTCAAAAAACTATAGGTTTATGTTTAGATAGATTGACATTTATTTTCCAGGAAAACACCCATTTGCTCCAGAAATTTTTTTTCTCAAACTTGCATGATTTCTAAAAACTGATGATTCCAAAGATCCAAGAATCACATTTAGCTGACCTAATTTAACAAATACCCAAAATGACACAGACAAATGAAAAACTACCTACAAAGTTAATAGCAAAGTCCTTTCATGGAATTTCTCTTCAGTTTATAATTTATTTGAGTTATTTCTGTGCTACTATTATTCTGAGAATTGCTGTTGTTAAATTGCTATTATTATATATACCTCTTTCAAATAATTAAGTTAAATAAGTGAACTTTCCAGAGATAAGCTGCAGTGCTATTTGATACTTGATTTTTAAATTCTCAGTCTGTTTTGAGAAGATGAAAGTGTTGTTTTTGTGTTTAATAACATACATGTTAATATTCCTTTATATGTTTCAACTGCATTTTTAAGAGGTTAAGGAAAAGTGTTAAAAGAATCTAAACATTAAATTAGCTAGTATTTTAAAAAGAAGTAGTGACAGTTCCATTGTTGGAATCAACCACTGCTAATAGCACCATCTTAAATTAGGTAATGATCTACACTAGATCCTGACATATTGATCTTTAATAGTGAAGGTGGCATTAGAACATTACCCTCTGTATTGTTTAACATCCTGGGCTGTGTTTGCCTTGTATGAAATTCTCGTTTGTCTAGACCTGTGTTATAGGTAGCTTCCACATGCCTTTCCATGGCTTGATTTCAGAATTCATTAAAATGATAAATTAACTTGAATTTTAGTTATGTGTCATTCCCTACCTGAGGATCCCAAAGTCATCTCTCAGTCAATGGCATTTGTTGTATTTCCTGATCATTGGGCACTCCTGTTTGAGTACCCATAGAGAAAGGGGAGAAAGCCTTATCTTTACTTCCCTACCTGTTAAGTACAGAAAATACTCAGAAAAAGGTACAGATTCTATGTCAGTCAGTTGGGCTATGGCCTATCTGCAGCCAGCACATGAACAAATTACCTATTCCTAAAATGTTGCTCAGTAATGAAAACTTCATTTCCCCATCAATTACTTCCTTTCTCATACATTCTACTCCTCTTCTCATTCTCTTTGAGGTCTGCCTTGGTCTTGCAATATATTTTCCATCTTTTTGATTCATTCTTTGGGCTAACAACATCCTAGGAATTACTTGGATTTTTTTATTAATAGTAATGAGAAAACTTTGCTTCAAGTAATTTTGTGTTGGGTCTTTAACAATTACCATTTATTGGGTGCTTAATAAATGTAGATACTAAAAGAGAATGTTTATAATATGACTTCATCTTATTCTAATAACCCCTATGAGATAGGTGGTATTTTCTCCATTTTTCAGCTGTAACTAAGATTCAGATTAATTAACATGCCCAAGATCATAAAGCTAGTAAATGGTATAGAGAGTATTAAAACTAGATCTGTCTGACTTAAAAACCTATGCCTGGACTCTTCAGAATACACTTTTCTGCCTTTATCAGATTCCTGTGGCTACTATAGATTACATTTATTTCTGCATCTGGGGATTAACACTGTAAACCCTGACATTTGAAGACAGATATAAATTAAAACTTCTAGATCATTTTGCAAAGCAAAATAAAATAATAAAGTTGGTTCCCAGATTCCTAATGGTCCAAATAATGAATCAAAATATAAAAGTAATTGTAAAGTTGGGCAAAAGCTAGTTTGAGGTCTGGTGGTAAGTTGGTGTTGGAACTGAAACCAAATGAAACCCAGTATCTCAGGGTAGAGAGGCTGTGTCGCTGTTACCGTATTGTTTTATGTTGTTTTCACTTCTGTCTAATGGGTCTTTCTTTAATTCCGTTGAAACTATTGAGTTTTTCCATGTTTACCTATATAACTATTTTAGTGTTGTAGTAGTTTGACATAAATATTCTTTTCTTCTTTGCTCAGCTTAGTTAGCTTTCTTCACACCCCAAAATGGTCTGCAGTATTAGATACACAGCTTCAATGTTCAGTAATGTTAGGCAAAAATCGTATGGTCGTTTATGGTTTCATACTGCCCTCTTAGCTTTCTGCCAAAGTTCTATGACACGAGACATTGCTTCCCACAGTAGTGGAGTATGCATCGTGTTTTGAGTGCTGATTAAGTGAAGGCCTTTTAGTCACCTACAACATGGTAGTGACTTCAGTAAGGGTAACAGTACTTTTCTTTTTGTTCTCTCTTGTTTTGTAGAGTCGACAATTAGAATCAGAAACTGGGACCACAGAGGAGCACAGTCTAAACAAGGAGGCTCGGAAATGGGCCACACGTGTGGCACGTGAGCACAAAAATATTGTTCACCAACAACGGGTAAGTGTAATAGAGAGTCTTAGGCAACATAAATGTCAAAACCAATTTAAGGGCTTGAGTTTTTTTAATGTGAAAAATATCCTGTGTGGTTTTTCCTATAATCTCTCAGCATTGAGCAGTATGCCCTCGGCTCTCTCCTTAGCTTGGAAATTCCTTACGCCCTCTAGCAGCAATACAGTAATTTATCTATTTGCCATTGAATTGCCTAAGGAAGGCTAGTGATAGTGTTATTATACTCTTTTGGACAGTGGAGGAGAAGACTTGCATATTTTGAATTAGGCTTTTCATCCCTTAGACAGATTTTTGAAGAAACTATTATAGATTCCATGAAAATATATCTTCAAGACTGAACTCTTAAGTGCAAAGAAATTATTTTAAATATAGTAAATTTTTTCTAATTTCCATATATTTGTAACATTACTCTTTTCTTTCTTTACCTTCACGTCCAATTTCTTTAAAGAATTGTCCATATTTAATATTTAAGTATCTCCTAACCTCACACATATTTTTTAACCCATTATGTCTGGGCTTTCCCAAAGCTCTTTCCCTTCCTTTGCACCACTTCAGAGAGACTACACTTGCCAGAATCACCAGTCATGTCTGTGTTGCTAAATCCAAAATAGACACTTTGATTTCTAGCTTGTTGAAACTAGCCTGTTGGTAGTTTCATCACAACTGATAGCTCCCTTCATGTTGAAACATTCTCTTTAGTCATCTGTGACTTAACATTGTCCTGGTTTTCCTTCTGTCTTTCTGGCCATTCCTAGATTCTTTTATAGATTCTTTTTTCTCCACCTCACATTTAAATTCCTTGGATTTCTGTATTACGCTACCATCTTTCCTTATTCTTTATTCTCATTATAGGCAGTCTCAACCATGCCATTGTTTCACTTGCCAACAAGTTATAAATTACTGTTTCCAACATTGGGCCTTCATTCTGTATATACATATTGATCTGGCTTGCACGATCTGGCACCTTTTCATTGTCTCACAGGCATCTTGAATTCAATGTTCCATTATCTAACACTGCATAACAAACTACCTCAAACTCAGTGCCACAAAAAAGAACATTTTTTTTATGTTGTCTCTCACTACTCAGGGGATTGGACAGGCTTATCCACTGAAACATCTGGTACTTAATCCAGGAACACTTGAACAGCTGGCAAGTAGAATTGCTAGAATTCCTCATGCATCTCTGTCTCTCTGTGGTCTCTCTATGTGGTCTCTCCAACATCACAGCTTCAGGTTAGCTCTACTTTCTACATGGTAGCACAGGGCCCCAAAGGTGTGAGTCCCCAGGGTAAGGCAAGTAAATCTTCCTGACCTAGCCTCAGAGGTAGCATGGTATTACTCATGTCATATTTTTATTAATTGAGGTTGTCACAAAAACTGTCCAGGTTCTTGGAAAGAGCCATAAACTCTATTTCTTGGTAGGAAAGTAACCAAAATTTAGAAGAACATGTGGAATCGGGAATATTGTCAAAGCTGTTTTTTTAAAAACAGTCTGCCATAGTTTACCTTCTGACCATAACAGTTCACATCCCTCTTGCACAATACAACTCTCTTCTTCATCCCAAATTCCCCCAAAGCCTAGCATCAGACTCCAGTTTGAAATCCAGAATCTGGTTGTCCAAATTAGATTCGTGGATAGATAAGGCTCCTTGGGTTCAGTTCCTCTTATACAGTTTATCTCAAAGAATTTGGGAACTAGAGAGATGAGTTATCTATCCACCACACATTTAATAAGTAGTGATGAGATTAATTACTGCAGCTATATACTTCAAAATATAAAGCACGTAAACAGACTTTTGTCCACTAGAGTGCTTGTCTATATTTGAAAGTAAATGTTCAGATACTAAAAATTAAATCTACTTCCCTTCTTTGTTGTCCAGGCCTGTTGTATCTTTCTGCTCTAGGGTAGAGAGAAACAGGTTTCAACAACTTTTCCAGTTCTTTATAGTGTAAATTATAATAGGCTTTAATCTAGTAAGATATATTAAGATATGTTTTAAGCAATAAACTGAAGAGTTTTGGGGTTTTTACTAAAACCCGTTCTGCTTTTGGCCATGATGAAGTAACTGGAATCTCACACTTACCCTTCTGCATGAACAACTATAAAACTGGTCTAAATATATGAAACAAATGTTTTCTCACATTGGACAACAGGCAATAACAGAAGTTTAAAACCTGAGAGAAAAAAAACTAATGAAGTTAACGATATGACCTCCTAGGCTTTCTGCCTAGAGGCACATTCTGTGTTGCAGTTAAAAGAGGAAGAACTCAAAGAAAGCATCACAGGCTCACTGAGTTGAGTGGATAGAGAGTATAGTTTAGAGACACTGACATGGCATGAATTTTCAGGGCAGAGTACCAGAGAGCAGGGCAATGCAGAGAAAGAATTTCAAAAATCTGCAGTCTCCCCTTCAGTCTTGCTGAATACTAAACCACACATACATATGGTGAAACTCCACAAGACTGAGCAATGAATAACAATGGAGATATAAGCTGAAAAATTCCGAGAAGTCACAAAAGGCTGGAACACATTCAAGTTTTGACCAAGCAAAGTTGAGAGTACTTGTGTATCACCTGGAACATTCAGGAGACTACCAAAGATTCAGACATTATTAGTAGGGCTAAAATAGCCCTAGAATAAAGCTACTTTAAGAACTAACCTAACAGAGTTTTAAAACAAGTTTTAAGGAGATCAAGCTAATCTAAAAGTTACTTATTTTCCTGCTAGAAAAAAAATCTCTCCAAAGGAAGAAAAAAAAAAATCCAGCATGCAATAACACAGTAGTCACAATGTCAAGACTCAAATAAAATTTGCTAGATGTTAAAAGAAGCAGGAAAAGATAATCTGTGATGAAAAGAAAAATCAATTAAAGCAGACCTGTAAATGCCAGAGATGATGAAATTAGCAATAAGGACTTTAGAACAGTAAATAAGCTCAAGGATGCTAAAGAAAACAAACATGACCATATGAGGAAAACAAGGAAGATATACAAAAGAACCAAATGGCACTCCTAGAGCTGAAAATACAATATTTGAAATGAAAAATGCAGTAGATTAGATGGCACCAAAAAATGAACAGTGAATTTGAAAGCATAACAGTAGGAACTACCCAAGCTAAAACACGGAAAGAAACAAAAGACTTTAAAAGTGAACAGAGCATTATTTTGATCCATTATTTAATATAACATACTTTGGTAGTTAGGAAAAGATTCCCTTAGAGATAGAAAGGAGAAGAGTCAGGAAAATATATGAAAAAAATTAAAGCTGAAAACTGTCAAAATTTAGTAAAAATGGTGAACTCAGAAATCCAAGAAGCTCAACAAACCCAGGCAAGTAAAACACAGAGAAGGTAACACCAAAGTATGTCATAATCAAATTGTTAAAAAGCAGTGATATTCAATTGTGAAAGACTGAAAACATTTCCTGTAAGATCAGGAACAAGACAAGGATAACCCCTTTTGCCACTTTTATTCAACATAGTACTAGAAGTCCTAACCACAGCAGTTAGGCAAGAAAAAGAAACAGAAGGCATCCAAATGAAAAAGGAAGTAAAATTATCTCTGTTCACAAATGAAATGATCTATGTAGAAAATCCTAAAGATGACACACACAACAAACACATACACACCTGTTAGAGCTAACAAATTCAGCAAAATTGCAGGATACAAAATTAACACACAAAAATCAGTTGAGTTTCTATACACTAGCAATGAACAATCCAAAAGGAAATTAAGTAAACAATTCTATTTACAGTAGCATCAAAAAGACTAAAATACTTAGGAGTTAAACCAAGGAGGCAAAAGACTTGTACTCTAAAAAACTATAAGACATTGATGAAAGGAATTAAATAAGACATAAATAAATGGGAAGTCATTCTTTTCATGGAATAGAAGATAGTGTTACTAGATGACAGTACCACCCAAAATGAGCTAAAGATTCAGTGTAATCCCTGTCAAAATCCCAAGAGTGTTTTTTGCAAAATAATAAAACCCACCTAAAAATCATATGGAATCTCAAGGGACCCCAAATAGCCAAAACAGTGTTGAAAAAGAAGAGTTAAGTTGGAAAACTCATACTTCCTGATTTCAAAACTTATTACAAAGCTACATTGTGCAAGACATTATATTACTGGCATAAGAACAGACATCTAGAGCAATGGAATAAAAGTCTTATTTAATTCCTTTCATCAATAAAATAACAGTTATTTCAAAATTAGTCCTGTGCAGTCCAAGTCAGACACCCAGCAGGGTTTTTTTAATAGAAGTTAGCAAAAATGGAAATACAAATGACCTGAAATAGTCAAAGCAATTTTGAAAAAATGAGGATAAAGTTGGAGGGCTTACTCTACTGCTCTTAAGACGTAAGACTACAGTAATAATCAAGACATTCTGGTATTAGTATAAGAATAGACTTACAGATGAATAAAATGAACAGAATAGTTTAAAAATAGGCACACATATGTATGGTCAATAAATTTTTAACAAAGATGTATCAAACTTATAAAAATGCTAAACAAATTTTAATAAAAATGAATCCAGGCACATGACTAATTAGAGTGCAAGGGTGGTATGACATTAGAAAATTGATCAATAAACTACATTTACAAAGTAAAGATGAAAAATTCTATGATTATATTCATAGTTGCCAAAGATGATAAAATTCAGTATCCCTTAGTGATTAAAAAATAAACAAAATTTCCCAGCCAACTAAAGATTTTTTCACCTTAAAGAAGGTACCTTCTGAAATTTACTGCAAACATTCTACTTTGTGGTTGTGTTAGTTTTCTGTAGCTGCCATAATAAATTACCACAAACTTAATGGCTTAAAACACTTCAAATGTATTATCTCAGTTCTGTAGATCAGAAGTCTGGGTGAGCTTGGCTGTTTCTGCTCTGGCTCTTAAAAGGTTGAAATTAAGGTGTCTGCTAGCCTGGTCCCTGGGAGAGAATCCTCTTCCAGGCTCATTCAGGTTGTTGTCAGATTCCTGG